AGAAAAACCGGTCTTCATCTGTCTTATAATTAAACTAAGCTAGCCAAAATCACTGACCCAAACATACCATAGTATTTCATACACCAAAACAACATCTTCTTACTTAGCGTTCTTGCTACAGCCACCACAGTACCTCAGAGTCTCTATAAAGCTCCAACTAGTCCCCATATGTACCATTTGTTTGTGGTGGGTGGGGAATAAAAAGCTTTAAAAAATGAAACCGCAATGAATATTTACCATAACAGAATGTTTATCAGAACAATTACCATGAAAATATTTATATAAAAGGTACAGCGAAGCTGCGTTATGGCAGTAGGAAACTGACTGGAGTCGAAATGCCAGGTCAGGACCAATAACATTGCAGATTTTTTGCATTATATCAAGAGTCTCTAAATACATAGCAGACGCAGCAGACTAGATGTAGCAGCAATATTCCATGCATGCTAGAATTTTTATCGGATGAACTGGTTAAATTCCAGCTGGACATTCACCTCTCAATGTACACAAAATAACCTTCATGCGGCTTTCTTCTATTTATACATGAATTTATTCGAAAGGTTGATTTCGTCTTGGTAATTATAAATGTTATTATAGCGTCGACGCTTCGGCCAGGAACCCTTTGTCCATTTTCCTCTTTTTTGGTTGATATCCGTTGATTATTGTATCATTCTGTCACTGTGATGCCAGTTCTGGCTCGTTCTTCCTAAACCAGTGCGTTTTGAAATTGTATTTCATTTTTTAGATGAGCAATAATCAATATACTTTAATTTATTCAATCCATTCTTCTCTTGGTTTGGTTATTATTAGAATTATTATAAAGACAACGTTTCTGACAAAATTATCAGAAGCAGTACGAACGCGACAGATGATAACCAAATGATAAAACCATCCAACATTGAATATAAAATACTCCTAAAATACAACACTGAAATAGGTAATGAAACAATATAGCCTGAAGTAGTTCAGCAGGAACAAACATGAACAAAAATATATCCTATATTAGCGAAACAATGGACTTCTGATGATGGCCAGTGGGTACTTGGACGAAACGTTTTTTTTTATAAAAACTACTATAATAATCATGATAAGAAAAATATGTCGAATAAATTAAAATATATTTAGCATTTTTTATCTAAAAAATGAAATGCACAATACTTCTTTTTAACATTTTTTAAATATTCAATTATTTTCCATTCCATCTGTGAAAGATTATTTCTTTCTTCTATCTACTAAACAGAATGAAATAAATTTAGTCTGAAAAGATTAATAATATCAAAAACAGTTTTACCGTAAGAAAGGTTGGGAATTTTTACTGTTGTTTATTCAATTTACATGGATTAAGAAATAATCGTTGCGGCTGACATCGAAGTCAAGAATTAGTTCCAGTCTTGTTCTACACCATTTCACAACGCCTCATAATTAAACGATTTCTCTTGGCTCTTTTTTACAGCACATGTTATTCATTGGGAAACTTTGCCTGGTGAATTCAGCTGCTGAGACTAATTAAGACTATTATATCTACATGCCATTATAGGCAATACATTTATTTATGTATATACGCGCTGATACCCATGACTCATTCAAAAACAGACGCGCAAAAAGAATTTGCATAAACCTATAAGTATTCAATTATTATACTCCCACATCCGTGCTTATATGAGCAATTAATGCGCTCATTATACAAATATACATACTCATTGACGTGGTTGCATCCTGTCTTCGAGTTAAGAGGCTCTGGAAGAAGTGGCGAAATCAGTAGAACTTGAAATGAAGATTCCACATTTATTTTCTATTTGAGCATTTTCTTTTCATTTTGCCTAGACACGTGCCGACGAGATTTTCTCCTCCCTCGTCGCCATTTTTTTCACGATGTTTTTATGCATGATAAATTTAGAGACAAATAAAATTTTCATAGCTTTTGGCTCGCCTTGTTAATCCTCAATGTGTGTGTGTGTGTGTGTGTGTGTGTGTGTGTGTGTGTGTGTGTGTGTGTGTGTGTGTATTTATGCGTTCGTTTGCGTGCACGTGAATGTGTATATATGTGGGCATCAGTGTGTGCTTTATATAATTCATACACGTTCTTCCTTTATTCATTTTCTTTCTTTCGTTTCTCGGTTTAAAATATTTTTTTGAATTTCTTTTTCTTTCTTTTTCTTTCTTTCCTTTTTTATTTTTTATCTTTCTTTTCTTTTTCTTACTTTTTCTTTCTCATTTCGTTTCGTTTTCTTTTTCCTTCTCATTTCTTTCCGTTTCCTTTTTCTTTTCTATTTTCTTTTTCCTTTATGTCTTTCCTTTCTTCTCTTTCTTTTCTTTTTTGTTTCCTTCCTTCCTGCTTTCTTTCTTTTTCTTCCTCGTCTTTTGTATTTTCTTTATTTTCTTCCTCTTTCTTTTCTATTTTCTATTATCTTTTGTATTTACTTTTTATCTTTGTTTTGTTTTCTTTTACTTTTCCTTTCTTTTTCTTTCCTTCTTTTCTTCTTTCTTTCTTTTCCTTCCTCTTATATGTTTTTTTTTTTTACTTTCTTCTTCCTTTCATAATTTCATCGTCTATTGCTTTCTTTCTTTTTGATTTTTTGATTAATATCTTTTTCTCACTTCGTGCTTCACCCTTCTTTTCTTTGTTCTTTCTTAACGTGTTTTTCATTCTTTTTCATCTTCATTTTTCTTCTTTAATAAATTTGTTTCTCGTTCTCATTCAGCCATTTTTTCTTCTTTCTATTTATCCCTTTCTTCCTCGCTTCTTTTTGTTCTGTCTTTGTTATATTCAGTGGTTTTCATTCTTTCTATTAGCACGCGATCTTAATTAAATATCTTTACAATACTTCGTTTCTATCAATTCTTCTTCCCTCCTTCTGCCAATTATTCTCATTTTAATATTACTTTATTCTCCATCTTTTATTCTTGCTACAATTCTAAATATATTTCTACCAAGTTTAAAAGTTATAATTTTAGTTGGTATTCCAAAAGTGGACCAGAGTATACAACTTTATTTCAATTTGGGAATTTTTTTTTAACGAATGCTCGATTTGGCTCTTTCTACTCTGTCTTAAACTGATAGAATTTTTACAGAATTCCACATTATAAAATTAAGGTGTCAGCTCGATAATCTGCTTGTGTTTATTGAAAAACTATCTGTTGTGGATTCCGGGTTGAAATCCGGTACCAATAAATAACAAACGCCAGGAATGAATATATGAAAATAATGTATTAACATAATAATACAAACTGGTAAAGCAGGTTAGTAGTTCCAGGAATACGGGTTAGTAGCAAAATATATATATACAGTCTTTGGTATTGAAGTATCGCTGTATGACTTCTTACTGAGTCTACGTACTCATTCACTGTGACTCCTACAACACTGTTACCTCACCCTCACTCTTCCGGTTACCTACAACCTTTTACTCTGTCACTCTGGACCCGACTCGACTCTTCGATCTTGCTCTCGTCTCACTCTCGAGTCTTCCCGTAGCAGTAGTATATGTATATACTGGGTGAGTTCATTTGTGTAAAAAGGGGTGGACCCCTCAACACTATCTTTATGTCCCAGACTCTTACAAATGTCAATAAGTAAGTGTGAGTTTATCAGTTTTGAAATCTGAAAATGTCTTTATGGCATTTAAAATCATTTTTTTTTAAATATCTATTTCTTGGAAACACGTTCTACAATTCCTCGTCTGAAGAAAAGTAAGAATCTTGTCAGAATCTTTGAGAATAAAAGATATACACTTTTGTGTATTTTTTTTTTAATACTCGTCAGTATAAAGCTCATATTGAATGTTAGCTTTTAAGACCAGTTTCTTCGTCAGATATACTTCAAGTCTCTTGCATGTGGAAAGCCCATCAAACACAATGGACTGAAGCTAAAATAAAAGACATAGAACATAAAATAAGGAAATAAATGAATCAACGAATATACGATGTAAAAATCAGTAGGCTTAGACCACTAATAAAGTCATCCAATCAATAGGCTACTAAATGACGTCAACCAATCAATGAGCCGGAACCACTAATATAGACATCGAGTCAATAAGTTGAGATATATCAATAGTCATCCAATCAGTGCGTTTTTCAACCACTAAGAAAATAAAATAGACATTAAGTCTTAATTTTTTTTTATTTACCACCTGAGATTTTTTTTTAATTACCACCTGGATACTTATAGAAGTGTTGGTAAAACTTGTTTCCCTTGAAGGCATGGGTTCAGTTTTTAGAACAGGGAGCACATAAATATAGACCGACGAATTGGGCGACATTCGATATTCGGAATGGTTACCAATTCGGACTGGTAACTACAGAAAGCAGACGGACAAAATAATGAAAAATAAAGACACGTAGTCCGAATAAATCAATACACTGGACTGAAACAAAAGTTCGTAGCGCTTTTCAATATGTGACCTTTGAACGCATGATTTCATTCCACCCGTGATTGAAATTTATGTATTTCTATATGTGTATATGAGTATGTGTATGTGTGTATATACATGTGTATATGTATGTGTATATGTATGTGTGTATGTATCGATTTGTAAATGTGTGTATGTGCATGTGTGTGTGTGTGTATACGTATATGTATGTATGAGTGTATATGTATGTGTGTATGTATGGATGTGTATGAGTGTATGTGCATGTTTATGTGAGTATGTGTATATATGTATGTATGCTTATGTGTGCATGTCCATGTGTGTATGTGTATATGTCTATGTGCGTATGTGTATATATGTACGTATGTTTATGTGTGCATGTGCATGTGTGTATATGTATATGTGAGTATGTGCATATATGTATGTGTGTATGTATATATGTTTATGTGTGCATGTGTGTATGTGAATACGTGTATGTGCGTATGTGTGTGTACGTGTGGGTGCGCAGACTACGCCATTTTTTTCCATCCTTTTACACAAGACCCGTAAGCTCTTATGTTACTCTTTCCAGCAACCTCTCTTGATTTCAAAATATCCAAAACCCCTTCCTTCATTCTGCCACCCAGATATATTCCAACTGAACACCGGTTCTTGTCCGATCACCGAAGTTAAGCAACGTTGAGCCTGCTCAGTACCTAGATGGGTGACGGCTCGAGAATACCAGGTTCTGTAAGCTTGAATGGGCGGATGGTGTAATGGATAACTGCTCGGAATGGGAAAGAGTTCGCCTCTTCTCCTCCCAGCTATGGATTAAACAGTAGGACTTGTATCAGAAAATCGTAACTATTTTCAAAAAATTATTACAATCCCAAAATATAAACAACTTAAAAAGGGTCGTAAAAAAAACAAATCAATCAAACATTTCAGCAGTCTCTCCTGAACCGAAATGTATTTTTGGCTTTCAACCAATAAATTCCCCACCCCTTCCCACCACACCCACACACACACACACATACACACACACACACAAACACAAACACACATGTGTATATATATAGTAATTTTTAAGGAATTAATAGATTTTTTTATTTTCAATCCCATATTATGTCTTATTACTTAAACGTTATATTTTAGTGGATACACATGTTTGAATAGACGCCCTGTTTTTGTTTTTGTTTTATTTTAGGGGTTATTTTTTGTTTTATTTTTGTTTTGTTTGTTTTCTTTTTTTAACAGTATGAATTAATCAACAAGTCTGTGCATTCGAAAATTTGAATAAAGAAAACGTGTCTCCAGGCTGCGTTCGAACATGCGTGCCCCTTTTTGTATGGTCTTTCAAGGAGCTCAAACCGAAAAGATTCTTTAAGAGGTTAACTGAAATTTTCTGGGCTCTGATCGTCTTTGTAGGCGGTCGGTCTAAGGTACGTCGGTTAAAAGTAAGTCGGCGGTTTCTCTTACAAAAACCCTAAGAGAATACATATTTTCTTTATTAAGGACTGTGAATGTAATTCACACTGTTTGAAAGCAAAACGTCTGTTCAAACACGTGTATCCACTAAGATATAACGTTTAATATATATATATATATATATATATATATATATATAATATACACATATATATATATATATATATATATATATATATATATATATATATATATATATATATATATATTTTATTGGGGGGTTAAACTTTCAAATAAGATTACACCATGAACAAAGTTGCGGATAAATTGCCTGATTTAATTTTTTTTTTTCCCCAAGTACTTTCGACTATCTCAGACTGGGCGTTGTCAATGTGTTAGAATACAGTCATACATTCATACATAAATATATATATATATATATATATATATATATATGTGTGTGTGTGTGTGTGTGTGTGTGTGTGTGTGTGTGTGTGTGTATATATATATATATATGTATGTATGTATGTGTGTGTGTTTATGTGTGTGTTTAAGAGCGTGCCCATATGTATATTCACAGAATTCTTTCCGATTTTCCTTATACGTGCATCAAGTGCAAACATATTTATGCAATGTTGAGAGAAAGAGTTATTGGCGTGGAGCCAACACAGTATCGTTAGACGATCGAACCGGAGCCCTCGTGTAGATGGCGTCGGAAAGTTTACGTGCCGTTGTCTTTCATATGCTTCTAGTACTTAACGTGTTCAGAAGACGTGACCCTCTTATCAGCATCAGTCGACACTCTGCATCTTCTTATCTGATTATAACGAAAGCTAATTATTCAGCGGTGTTGAGAGTGAAACAAGCGGAGAGAAACAAACACAAGAGGTCAATGAGAATACTTAATGCAAAAAATGAGATTATGAATGCAAAATCGTTTTCTGTCTCGGCGTTAATTCTCAAACAGCACACATACACACACACACACACACACATACACACACACACACACATATATATATATATATATATATATATATGTATAAATAAGAAATTTATGAATTTTTTTAAAATTCGACATTATTTCTTATTGCTATATTTGTGAGGTACACGTGTTTGAGTTTTATTAATATTAATTTTATTAATATTAATTTAATTAATGTCCAGCGGTTTAGAGATCGAAAGTCTTATTAACGAAAATGTGCCCCCCCCCCGTCAATCGAACCAATTAAACTGATTAAAAAAGGAATACAAATTCGATTCCATCCGGGTGGCACACGTTCTGTATTAAGACTTTCGATTTCTCCCTCAACAGACATTAATTTGCTTATATAAAAAAAAAAAAAAAAAAAAAAAACAGATGTCTACTGAAATACATGTATTCCCTAAATATAATTTTTATATTAATAAGAAAAATATTATATTAAAAAATCTATATAAAAATGAATGTGTTTACATTGTGGGTAGGAAAATAATCTTAACACATATTGATTTGGAAAGGTCCAAGAAGAGATACGCCTTTCTTAAGTAGGATAAATAAGCACGGATTTTGCTGTCATGATTTCACGTGGCTTACTGGTAAAGTACACTTGATGAAAATCAGTTTCCCTGAATTAAAAATGAAATGCAGGTTTGATTAGGCACATTTTCTTTATTAAGACTTTCTATCTCTAGACCGATAAACATTAATTTCTCTATTTTTAAAAAATGGCGATGTTGATTCAAGCACTTGTAACTACAAAATATTATTGTTTATATTTATTACATGTTTATATTTATTACATATACACACACACACACACACACACACACACACATATATATATATATATATATATATATATATATATATATATATATATATATATATATATAGATATATATATATGTGATAAAAAAATATTTTTAATGTATGCTATATGTATGGGCAAATGTGCTGAATATCAGAGATAGAGCGTATGTAAATATAAAAGTGGACACTTAGGCCAAAACAAAGCGGCGACAGTCTGTTTCATGCTTCAGCGCAAATTTCCAGGCTATGTGTGTTGTGTTTCAGTTCGGCTGTTTATGTGTGCTGCCCAATGGTGTAATATGGATGGTAAGGTGTATTGTATTATCCTGACGGAACATGCATTTAGTTATGCCGATTAACGTAAAGAATAGTGAATATTAGAAAAATATCAGGACCTTGCTCAGGGGCGCTGGGTAGCATTTGAAAGTGAGATTCATAGTCCTAGTACCAAGATAACCAAGATACAATTGGAAACTGTACCGAGAAAACTATAATTAAGATTATGAGTCAGAAATCCTAGAGAGGGTTGAGACTGTGCCAACTTCAATGTCGTCAAAGTTACTGAAAAAAGTGCCGGAGATTTCAGGTGACTTGCTGTAACTAAACCATCGTATCTCGTGTGTACATACAAGAGCATGAATAATAATAATAATAATAATAATAATAATAATAATAATAATACAATTACTGAAGTTGCAACGACCTTAAAATGGAAGCACAGGAAAATGGAATTGACCAGATACAGAAACGATGGTAGGATAAAACTCTTCACAGTCAATATTCTTCCTGTACCAAACGAGATAATGTAAACAAATCCTTCAGTGGCTACGTAGTGCAGGGTTAAAATGATTGCTAACTAGAATTTACCATGCACACATACTGAAAAATTGTGTTAGCCTAAAATGGAAATTCTGTGATAAATATCCAGAAACAATTGACCATCTTGTATCAGGTTGCACGGTATTGGTACTTACTGAATATAAAACCCGGCCTGACAGAATGGGCCAATATCTGCATTGGAAAATATGTAACTTTTACGGAAAGAAAACTGCAATAAATTGGTATGAACACTACCCAGACACGGAAATAGGTTCTGTAACGATTTTATGGAACTTTACAATACACACAGACGGAACAATCAAAACTAATCACCTAGACATCGTGATTAGAGACCACAAATACAAAATGTGCCTTCTTATTGCGATGGCAGTCCCTGCAGATTTTAATGTATCTTTAAAGATCTTCAAAAACTATCAAAATGCAAGTACCTTAAACCGAAATCTTCAAAATAAGGAACATGAAGACATCAACAAGAAAGCGTTAAAGAAATACAAAACATTGTACTCACAAGTACAACCGACACCTTAAGAAGGACTTTATCTATGTAAAATATGTGTGATCTTAGATGTGTTTTGATTTTTTTTCTCAAATCATGCTCAGTAGAAAATTTCATGTTGCAGTTTTTGAACTTAGGTCCCTGGTTGGGACCCGGAAAAATGAGTATACACTAGAAATCAAAGGAAATAATAATAATAATAATAATAATAACCACAAACAAAAACGGTGCCTCCTTATTGATATGGCAGTCCCTGCCGACTGCAATGTATCTTTGAAGATATTCAAAAAGTTGTCAAAGTACAAGGACCTTGAAATAGAAATCTCGAAAATGTGGCATATGGGGACATCAACAATCCCTGTTGTAGTTGGAGCTCTAGGACTGGTTGGAAAAGATTGCAGTAGACTAATTGAAGGGATTCCTGGAAGTCCATGCCTCAAGGAGATACAGAAAATTGTTCTGACAAGTACAGCCCACACCTTACGAAGGGCTTTATCTATGTAATCTTTTTCTTTTTTTTTTTTTTTTTTGTCAGTGGAAAGTGTCATGACGCTATTTCTAACCTTAGGTCCTGGGCGGGACCCGGAAAGAAATGTGTAAACGCCAGAAATCAAAGAAAATAATAATAATAATAATTACAAAAGAGCGTGATTTATGAAAAGAAAAAGAAGGGACTCGGTGTTTAACAATGTTCAACCATATTTCGACAGTATGTTTGTCTTCTTCAAGTCTTGTTTAAAAATTGTAAACAAGTATACAAATATAAAAGAAATCTACAAACGATTGTCATTGTACAAGCGTCGTTTGTCTTCAGAAAATGGCTGCACTGGTAATCAACGCGTATCAGAACAAACGAAACACAGTCACCATGAATGGCATGCAACTGAAACGTGGATAATAGGATGTAGATCTTGCTCACCTTGAAATGTTCTGTTAGTTGATTAGTTATTAAGAGTAATTACTCACACACTTTAGTATAAATCCTATGGAACTCCCTGTCCTTCTGTTCATTCTGCCAGTTAGTGGTTTGCATACGTAACTATCTTCATGTCTTCTAAGGGTCGCGAGGTCGAGGAAATCTTCCCCTTAATATGTTCATCTAAATTACAATCGTTTGTAATAAAATGTAATAAATATATATATATATATATATATATATATATATATATATATATATATATATATATATATATATATAT